CACATGCTTTATCTTTAACTATTAACGTTCATTTAAGACACAAATAACTGTGTTGACGAGGAGACAGGCATTTGGACACATAACTGTGTATTCGAACGTTTAAACACAAGGCACGAAAAATAACTCCAGTCAGGCGCTGTACAAGCAAGTATCAGAAACCGTCTTAACGCGCGCATTTGCCAAAATGAATTCTGTCCCACTGCTTAATGTCCCTGAACAGTTACATTTGTTGTTAAACCACAATGCTTAAAATGCGTTTAAATGAAAAGCTTAACCTACATCATGCCGCGCAAAACGATTGAGAATACTAGCCCTATAGAGTTTGTTCAAACACAAAAAGCACTATACATCGATCAAGTTAATAATCAAACTAACCTAAAATCTGTGGGGATGATGGTGCTGTGTTTTTATCTGCTATGTGTCCGGTCCATTTGCTGTTCCACAACTCCCACTCCATCATCAGCTTTAGTATATACTTTTTATAAACTAGCTGTGGATTTTAGTGACTCACTCATGTTTTCCCTTCTCTCCTCATTTTTTTCTCACAATTTTTTTTTAAGAATAGTTGACATTTTTACTTATCGAAGATTGCTCTTTGCATGACCATTTCTAGATTACACCAGAACGAAGTGAAGAGAGCTGAATGCAGACATTAGGCGCAGCGATCACCTGATAGATATGCTACGTGCAAAATATATAATAAATGCATTTGATTGGTAAAACAAATTCAAACGTGACGTTTTAATCTCTAATTGTAATGCATGGAATTTACGGAAAACTCCACTAAATAATAGCGCTAAAAAGTGAGGGTCGTAGTGGGGCTTTGGCGATCAGCGCTACCGATGTCCGTCAATCTACTCCACAGCCAACCACGGGCCCCCTCCTTGCTTGGGCCCCGGGGCTTCAGCCCCACCTAGCCCAATGGTTAATGCGGCCCTGCCGCCCACGCTGAAATCTCATCAGACCAAACTAGTGCTCAAAGATGGATGAAGAGAAACAAATCATGGATGTTTAGCATTCGTTACTGTATGATTCCTTCAAGATCCACAGTGAAACCATGAAGAGAGGTAGCGTCACACAGCTCATCAAAGTGCGTTGCTAGGTTTGTTCTGAAGGCTGGAATGCACCAAACCCCTTTTGCTCAGATTCCCTCCCATCTGCAGTCTGGACACTAAAAGTCAGAGCCAGTCTGCAGGTTTTGGGCAGTCGGAGCTGACCGAGAAAATCACATAGTGCATGATGGACACAGACTCCATACTGCAGATCGATATTAGACACGCTTGATATTTTGAGCCGATTCTAGAATACATGGTTTTAATTTTAACACATCTCTTTTTTTTGTGAAAGCCTGTTTAGCGGATGATGCACAGCTCTCGTCTGTAAACATTCATAAGGTCAGAAAGAGTGTGCCGTCTAGTGCTTTAATATCGGTTCATAAGTTGTGTAATGTATTCCAGCCGTGAGTTTTACACTCTTGAGATGCAGCATGTTGCAAGTGTAATACAGCACACAAACAAACCACGGAAACGTTCAAGCCTCTGCAGCAGTGCTTCACCTCTCTTGGGAACAGAGATGAGCGTGTCACCGTCCTGCTGAGAGACTGTGATCGTCGTGTCTGGAATCTCAGCCAGCAGGTCCATCAGATCACACATCCCATAATCCACCACCTGCCAGTTCCTGGCGAAACACCTGACACACACACACACACACACACACACACACACACACACACACACACACACACATATATATATTCATATTTTAAAGTGGCTGAGGAATCACGGAGAATGTCAAACAGATGTTAAAACTGCGAACTGAATGAAAAGCTGTGCTTGTGTTCAGACCTGCAGCACGTGAGGAACGGCCTCCAGCAGCTCCAGCAGTTTGGAGAATCCGTAGTCGGACACACGGCACTGCTTGGCAAAATGGTGGTGATACGCTGGAATGAACTTTGTGATGGGCACCAAACAGGACGGCTGGTTCTTCATCAGATCCACCATCTCTCGGCTGAACTGGATCAGCTGTGGGTTCCCAACCGGACTCTTACTGCGCTGCAGCCACGGATCTGACAAACACACAAACACACGCTAGAGGACTGAACTCTGCTGCATAGCATTCTGGGAAACTGTGTACAGAGATTAAACGTTCACATGTGCAAGAGATTAACAGACCAATCAGCTTGATTGCACAGACACTACTGGAAGAGAACTGAACTGAGCTGATGATGACGACATCACTGTTTTCTCCAGAGCTGCTTTATAGATGAACTGAACTTGTTCCATCATTGATGAACTTTACTTGGTTATTGAACTGAACTAGCAATGAACTGACTTTAACCCTTTCACATGTGACAGCGACCATTATTTTACAATGTATCGCCTGTTTCCATGGCGACATGTCACGTGACAAAGCAGCCACGATAGATGTGCATGAGTGATGTAACGCTTTTATTTCTCCTTTTTTATTCAAAATATTCACAAACATGTTAGCTATATGATGAAATATCTGATATTCCAATTCTCCAATATGTGCAAGTAAATGTAGTGGGTAGTTTAACATCTTTGCAATGACCGTGCTGCCATGTTAATTCATGTTGAGCTGTAGGATTTACAACATATACTCATGCTCTGCTCTTCAAAGACATTAAAAGCAAGTTTCTGGTGAACTGGGAATAGAATACAGCAAACGTTGTTAGTGACACAATGTATATGTAACGGGGCAGACAAGACGTGAGACGTGTGGATCCATGTGCAAGCTTTATTACAAGCAGAGGAGGTCAGAAACACAGGCAGGGTCGAACAATGGCAACCAGGTATATGGCGGGCAAGACACAAGAATAATCCTAGGGCTAGCGTAGGTCAATGATCGGCGAACAGAATGACAAGGGCGAGACTAGCGGGATAAATCCAAGAAAACAGGCAAAGATCAGAAACCAAGAAAACAGACGAGGCAGACTAAGCTAATGCAGGGTAAACTAAACAGGCTCCGTAGAGTAGCTATCAAACGATAAGTGCTAAACAATACTCGGCAGCTAGAAAGGAGTGAGATTGAGTGTTAAATAGTGAGTGAGTGATGTGAAACAGCTGTGTGCAATCAGTGCTGTGTGCAATCAGTGTAATGAATGATGGGAAATGTAGTCCGGGGTGATATGCAACAGTGTGTAGTGCGAGAGTAAATGAAAATGGAAAGGGTGACCTCTGATGGCTAGCAGACGGAAGTTCATGGACCGGATAAGTCGTGACAGGACAAGCAGGGAGTTCGTAAACGGCCTCTATAGCCGTGACAGGACAGACAAAGAGTTCCCAGACAACCTCCTTGGCCGGAACAGAACAGGCAGAGAGTTTACCGACGGCCTCCTTAGCCGTGACAGGACAGAACGAGGATTCACAAACGGCCTCCATAGCCGTGACAGAACGGGACGAGAGTTCACCGACGGCCTCCATAGCGGAACAGAACAGGCAGAGAGTTCATAGATGGCCTCCATAGCGGTTACAGGACAGGAAGTGAGTTCATAAGCGGCCTCCGTGGCCGATTCAGGGCTGGACGTAAGTTCAGACAGCCTCTGCGGCCGGGTTGAGACAGGACAATTATTCATAGGCCGTGACAGGACAGGCTGAAAGTGCGTTGCTGGGCGCCACCACCACGCAAGGAGCTGAAGCGAGCACCGCCGTTTCGGGAGGTTCTGCAGCATGCGCCGCCACCTCTGAAGAGACTGCAGCGGATACCATGGCCTCTGGGAGCACAGCAGCAGACACCGCTACCTCGGGAGGTTCTGCAGCGTAAGCCGCCACCTCTGGGGATGTTGTAGCCGGTGCCGCTGCCTCTAGCAAATCGGCGGTGGAGTACGCGGCCCAGATACACCATAAAGCAACCCCCCATATGGGAAGTGCTGCAGACAGGGGAATGAGTTCATGAACAGAAGGGTTAGAGTGAGTGAGTTTGGGGATACCAGCTGTGCGTGCAGATACCAGCATCCCTCACACTGGATAGAGACGTGCGGATCCATGTGCAAGCTTTATTACAAGCAGAGGAAGTCAGAAACACAGGCAGGGTCAAACAATGGCAACCAGGTATATGGCGGGCAAGACACAAGAATAATCCTAGGGCTAGCGTAGGTCAACGAACGGCGAACAGAATGACAAGGGCGAGACTAGAGGGATAAATCCAAGAAACCAGGCAAAGATCAGAAACCAAGAAAACAGACGAGGCAGACTAAGCGAAGGCAGGGTAAACTAAACAGGCTCCGTAGAGTAGCTATCAAACGATAAGCGCTAAACAATACTCGGCAGCTAGAAAGGAGTGAGATTGAGTGTTAAATAGTGAGTGAGTGATGTGAAACAGCTGTGTGCAATCAGTGCTGTGTGCAATCAGTGTAATGAATGATGGGAAATGTAGTCCGGGGTGATATGCAACAGTGTGTAGTGCAAGAGTCAATGAAAATGGAAAGGGTGACCTCTGATGGCTAGCAGACGGAAGTTCATGGACCGGATACGTAACAGTATTAAATTACATCAATAAAACATATTGTCGAATTATATTTGTAAGGATCATTATTGCAGCTTCCATAGACATCAGTGTGTATTTTATAAACTGTAAGTGTATTTTTTGCTAGTACATATGTATTTAAATGCCTAAAACCATTATATGGTTGAAAACACTGAACAGTTGTGATATGACAAGCGCTTAGCCCCAGCCAAAACACAAAAGTAGATTAAGCAGTTGATCACGTGAGGTGTGATACGCATCACAGGGTTAACTGAAAAACTGACTGTTTACTATTGTCCTGCTTTTAGAGCTGCTCTACAGAAGAACTGAATTGCTTGCATCATTCAAACACTATTTTCCTGTTTAAAGGGTTAGTTCATCCAAAAATAAAAATTAGCCCTTGTTTTACTCACCCTCAAGGCATCCTAGGTGTATATGACTTTCTTCTTTCAGACAAATCCAATCGGAGTAATATTAAAAATTATCCTTGCTTTTCCAAGCTTTAAAATAGCACGGGTGGGTGTTTTTGTTTAACAGTCTGAAAGTAGTCAAATAAAGTGCACGCATCCATATTAAAACGCGCATCACACGGCTCCAGGGGGTGAATAAAGGCCTCCTGTAGCGAATCCATATTTTAAACGATATAAACACCTTTTTTTCTCACTTCTGCTAACTGTTGTAGGCGGATGACGTAGGACGTATGTGTAGCGTACATAGTGACAAACGCAGAAGCGCAACGGAGCGAGAACAAAACAAATAGAAGCACAAAACGAGGATTTGTAAAGAAAAACGTCGCAGGATTTCGATATAAGCCAAGAGAAGACTGGTTTTCCTTTGGAAACTTTGCTTCCTTTGCTCCTGTAAACAAACATTGGTTTTCGGGAGACTCACACGCGGTGCACCTACGTAATCCTCCGGATCGGCAGTCTCTCGTGAACACGTGTACGACAGTAAGTGGAAGTTACACAAAACTGTTTATATCATTTTAAATATGGACATTTTTCTTACAAAAACGCATCGATTCACTACAGGAGGCCTTTATTCACCCCCTGGAACTAGAGCTGAACGATTATTTGCATTTGCGATAATATCGCGATATGGAAAAAAAATCACGATTTTTCAACCGCAGAGGCTGCGATTGCACTCGGTCACGTGACACGCGAGAGTGAAGAGGTGTGTTCGACTTGAAGACCCGATTGGTGTATGACATCAAAGTACAGCGAGAGAAAGCATAAGGAGACGTCCGCGCTCTTATAGCTCTCGCAGTACTTTGATGACACACACCGATCGGTCTAAGCAGCGCTGCTTCAAGTCGAGCACATCTAGTCTTCAGAGGAAGCATCAAGTGTGCACACTACAGTGTTGCCAAGTCCACGGTTTGGGGAACCCTCCAAAAAACATGTATTTTACCTACTGGAACGCGCTTTTTACCGGTGGACCCCCCTCGAAACGCGATTGGGCTAGTTTTGTTGTGAAAACCTGGCAACCCTGGCACGCTACACGCGGAAATGTCTGAAAGCGTATATATGAACGTACTTCAAAACAGCACATGGAAATTACTCAAGCAGTAACAGTGTTACGTTGCATTTCATTAATGAAGACTTCAACCTTAAGATAATATATATATATATATATATATATATAATATGGTAATATATATATTCTTATTTAAAGTCTGTCTAAAGTTAATAAGAGTGTTATAAGTGCAGTCCACATGTTTACATGTTTATTACAGTGACTTTGAATTACCTAAAGTAGTGTGGAAAAGCAACATATTTGTTTTTATATTTCTGCAATCTACTTTAGTTTGTGTGATTTGTTACTGACTTTCATGTTAATGTTTACACCAGGCTTATTCCTCAGTGCTTACATGCTTACAAGGTTGGAAGTTCAGCAAATCAGTCAATATACTACTGTGATTGTAGTTGTTAAATAAAAATTCATATCAATTCATGCATCACAAATTCATCGTAACATATAGGCCTGGCCTACAGAAAAGAACATTTATGCTTAATCTATCTAATATTGTGTTGGTCATACGATACAATGATTTATAGCTTGTCTTTGTTGAATAATACAGAATATAAAGATCTTTAAAAAATATTTGCATATTAAATCGCAATCGCAATATTGGTAAAAAAATAATAATAATTGCAATTAGATTTTCCAAAATCGTTCAGCCCTACCCGGAACCATGCGATGCGCGTTTTAATATGGATGGATGCGCTTTATTTGACTACTTTTGGACTATTGGACAAAAAACACCCACCCATGCCATTATAAAGCTTTGAAGAGCAAGGATCATTTTTAATATTACTCCGATTGGATTAATCTGAAAGAAGAAAGTCATACACCCAGGATGCCTTGAGGGTGAGTAAAACATGGACTTTCATTTTCGGGTGAATTAACCCTTTAGCACTGTACAGCTGCTTTGAGACAATATGTACTGTATAAAGTGCTGTAGAAATAAAGGTGACTTCAATGAAATGACAGCACGTGTGTGAGTGAGAGTGCGTGTGAGTGTGTGTGCGCGTGCGTGCGAGTGTGAGAGCATGTGTGTGTGTCTGTGTGAGAGTGTGTGTGTGTGTGCGTGCCTGCGAGTGTGAGAGCATGTGTGTGTGTGTGTCTGTGTGAGAGTGTGTGTGTGTGTGTGTGT